AAAATCTAGTGGCCAAAAATTGGTAATAGGGCCAAGGTCGAGAAGCCGTGGTATACAACAACTTCCAAGAAAACCTGGCTTACCTTGGCTTCCCCAAAAACTATGTAAGTATCTGAAGCAGGGCTCTTGTACACATCTGGCTTTGTGATGACAAAGAGGATGTTCTTAGACTTCCGGATAGTGACTCTAGTAACCCCTGTGACTTGCCGAAGACCCAGTTTGGACATAGCCTAAAGAATAGAAACAAGGGAACACCAGTTTTCAACTTTGTTAGAAGCAGTGCTAGGAACATAATCATCATATCAAACCAAACCAAACAAAGTCTTTTCCTGGCCTAAGAAGAATTTTATGTTAACAACAGGGCACTGGATTTCCGGGACTTTTGGGTTCTCTGCCATATAAGTTCCGTTTATTTAATTGATTCCACCAGGACCAAGAGTTCCACTGTATGTGTTCCTTCCCGACCCCACACCCCAACAACAAAGCACCTTACCTTGCGTGCCTTCTTTTCACTCCGACTCTGCTTTGCTTTACTGACTGGTTCCTCATCGATTTCAGCTGCTGCTGCCAACTAATAAGAGAAAGTAGCATCCTATGTATTAAGTTTCATAGTCCCCAAGACAGGCAACCTCCAATTGCCCTGTAATAGTATGCAAATCTGTCCCCTCACTCCAAAATGACTGGATCAAACCCTAAAAACTCTTGATAACAATCACCCTCTCTTGCTTCATGTGTAGATTCTACATCATCGGAAAGGCTTAGTCCAGCGGTTCTCACCACGGGGGTGGAACAACCCTCTCACAGGTGTCGCCTAGAACGATCCTCTCACAGGGGTCGCCTAAGACCATAGGAAAAGACATATTTTGATGGTCTTAGGTAGGAACAGACAACCGGCACCTCTGTCTGTCTCCAGGCGGGTCCACCCAAATGCAGATATACCCAGATACCAGTACCCGGCATGAAGACTGTTACCTATGCTACACCATGCTTCAAGACAAAATTTCATTTATTTGGCATTAGAAATAAATATTTCTTTTTCTTTTTTAGGGAAAAGAAAGGCTTTATTTAGACAAACAGATGCTAGTCACAGAAATAAATATTTCACAATGTATAATTACATATTGTTTTTGTGGTTAATCAGTTTTAATTATGTTCAATTTGTAACAATGAAAATACACCCTGCATATCAGATATTTACATTACAATTCATAACAGTAGCAAAGTGACAGTGACGAAGTAGCAATGAAAGTAATGTTATGGCTGGAGGTCACCAGTCCAATGCTCACCCGACAGTGACACAGGGCCTCATCTTGAACTACAGTACGGCTGAATAACAACTGTATGCACTGTATCTGGCCGGCAAATTCAACTTAAGGGATGGGTTTTGTTCCCAAACCTGGGTTCTACTTGTACAAACTAGCTTCTCTGTTCAATCCTGGTTCTTCAATGCTTCCCTGATCCCAATGCCCAGACCAGCCAGTAAGACAACACTCACCTGGGCTTGTTGTGTGGTTGCCTGTGTGGAATCCTGCTCTTCGAGCTCTGGTACTGACTCATCACTGTCAGATTCTGTTCCAGATCCTAAGAAGACAAACAACTTTTACCGTTTCATAGTAGAAACTGTAGAAAGGAAGGATCTCACCATGACTTGCCTGCACTAGAGGCTTATTCTAGACTTCCCAAAGTTCAATGTAAAAAAACTCATTTGTGCGAAGCCTGCCTCACAGTCCCCAACTGAATCAAAAACAAGTGTGTACACATCTATTAAAGACCCAGGCCCAGGAACGATGGGTAATCTCTCAATACAGTCTCAGTTTATAGACCATGACTGCTTCTTTTTCCTCAGGACATAAGCCATTTAACAAGGATACGTGTTAAGTTTCACCCAAAGCCCAACCAACCCAGAAAAGTTCTGCCAAGTTTCCAAGATATAGCTGTGAAGACAATAAAACACATCGTGGACCCGGTCAGAAGCAGTTGTGTACACACAGCCAGCCTTATTTTTCAAACCACTCCCCCTTTGCAATTGATCTTATCAAGGTAGCTTAGAGATTCTTAATGATTACAATCTACTAACTCTAACAGCCAACTCCCCCCAAAAGGCCAACATTTTAAGCTTCTTTCAAATGAAAGAACAAGCATCAACAAAGACTACCAAGAGAGAAAAAAGGGCACCATTCTGAAGCTAGAAAAACAGGTCTCTCTACATGTTTAAGAAAGGGAGTCCCTGGGCAACTGGTCGTTATTATGTAAAAAATTCAAATAGACTCAGACACCCCAATAATTTAGCAAATCCCAGGCCCAGGGACAAGGTTAGTGATGAAGTAGAAATTAGAACAAATTAAAGATCTAGGTCTTGGTTTTCAATGTCAGATCATTTAGGTAAAAAAGATGCCAAGCTCAGGGTTTAGTCTGGTCACCACAGTCACAATGATATACTACTCTGAGGTGATGAAAACCAAGATTCTGTTTTCTAAAGCTTTTGCACTTAAAAGCTATCATTCTATATTCTACATAGGTAAGACCGGAGGAAGCGGCGCACCCTACGGTTAGTATTGGTGGGTAGCCCCCGAGAGGGGGGTGGGCAACACACCATGCACACAGCAAACCAAGGCAAATACCCTTGTTGTTCTTCAGAATGGGCTGCTTGGCAGAGGGGGTTGGGGCAGGGATCCCAGCAGATTTGGGAGTGGGCATGTTGACGAGGACCGGCTGGAAAGGCACTCCCCCCGAGATTGGTTCCGGGGGAATCAGAGGCGGCAGCTCATCCTCATCAGCAGATGCTGGGGGCTTATGGGGTGATTCCAGCACCAGCCCAGGTGAGGACGGCAGAAATTGCTGTTTAGGAAGCAGAGGGGGAACTGGGGAGGGAGCGAGAGGCAGAGAGACTGGTGGGGTGGGTGCTGGAGAGACAGATGCTGATCCAGTTTTAGAAAGGACCGTCTCAAGGGCAGGTGATGCCAGAGGAGTAGAGGTCGTCTTAGATTCAGGAGGAGGAACCAAGGAGACTTTTGGAGCATGTACAGGATCTTTGTCCTTCATGGGGGAAATGAGGGCGGCTTTGGGATTCTTGGGAGCAGAGACTGGCTGAGGTCCTGTAGTATCATGCTTAGCTGAGGCATCTGGGCACACTGAAGGTGAAGGAGCAGAACCCTTCTTGGCTGATAGACCTTTGTGAGTGGGAGCTTCGATGGCTGATGCACTTTCTGGAGTGGGCACAATCAAGACTTCCTTGAGAGCTGCAGGGCGTTTCTTCGATGAGAGTCCTTTCGAAGTCTGAGGGGCAATGGCCTCTAAGGGGCAGATGGCTGAAGCAGGGGAAGTAGGGAATTCTTTAGGGGATGGGGTTGCTGGGGTCTTTTTGCAAGAGGGAGGAGTCACAGACGGGGGAGTAGGGGCCTTTTGGGAGGATGGGGCTGCTGGGGTCTCGCGGACCTTTTCAGGGGATGGGGCTGCTGGAGTCTCTTTGGAAGGAGTCACCACAGGTGGTAGAGTGGGGGCATTTTTGGTAGGCGGAGTTGCTGAGGCTCCCTTGGGAGATGGTGTCCCTGAGCCCCCTTTAGATTTGGAGGGAGGAGTCACAGGTGGATAAGTGGGAGCCCCCTTTGGGGATGGTGTTGCTGGGGCCCCCTTAGATTTAGAAGAGGGAGGAGTTACATGAGGGTGTGTGTGCATATCTTTGGAGGACAGAGTTGTGGAAGAGGGAGAAACCACGGGTGGGGGAGTAGGGACATCTCCCGTAGAATGAGTTGCTGGGGCCCCTTTGGATTTGGAAGAGGGAGGAGTGACAGGTGTAGGAGTCGCTTTGGGGGACAGTGCTGCTGGGGCTCCTTTGGAAGGAGTCACAGGTGGGTGAGCAGGAGCCACTTTAGGAGACAGTGCTGCTAGGGCCCTTTTGGAAGGGCTCACAGGAGCAGCAATGGGGGTCTCTTTGGGAGAGGGAGGAGTCACAGGTGGGGGAGCAGGAGCCACTTTAGGGGGGTGTGCAGCTGGGGCCCTTTTGGAAGGGCTCACAGGAGCAGCAATGGGGGTCTCTTTGGGAGAGGGAGGAGTCACAGGTGGGGGAGCAGGAGCCACTTTAGGGGACAGTGCAGCTGGGGCCCTTTTGGAAGGGCT